TTAGAGGGCTTGGCTCATCAGTGCTGAACCTTCAAGCAATATTTTTTATAGCATTAAGGGCAGTAGAAGTTTGATATTTTTTTGAAAAGCCTTTTTGTTTACGGAAGAGCATTGCTCGTTGCAAACATTCAAATGCAATTCTCCTGTCCTAAAAGCATATGTCCATATTTTATTTAAATACCATATCAAAGATTCCACCCTTCAGTGTAGCATATAGAAGCAGAATGATCCAATACAGTATAAAACTCTAAGAAGCGGTCTGGTATATTATATTGGCTAAACCGCTGGGAGAGTACACCATTGATAGGCCAAGCTCTTCTAATATTATAATCGCAGTAAGGACAGTAAAAGTTTGATATAAAATGAAAGGACTTAAAAGCACGAATGTTTCTTTTATACATTATACAGAAATTCTACTGTCCTTACTGCGATGAAAATATATTGGAGGGCTTGGCTTATCAGTGGTGAAACCTCCCTGCGGTTTCGCCAATATAATCTACCAGACCGCTTCTCAGAGCTCTAATACTGTATTGAACGATTCTGCTTATATACGCTGCACTGAAGGGAGGAATCTCAGAAATCTTTTTTAAGAAAACTATGGACATAAGCTTTTAGGACAGTAGATTACATAAAAATAAACATTCGCGTCTTAATGTATTTATTCGTTTTTATATAATAAGCACGTTATTGCTTTGTATTAATATATAACTATATAACTTTTTCCTTTGTTCTATATATTAAAGAATCAGAACATTTACTAATTGCGTTTGAACAATAAAAAGGAAAATTCGAAGATATTTTAAAATACTTTAAAACCTAATGAATTATAATTCTTTCTATTCGTATATATATTTCTATATTATAAAAAATATATTATTTTTATTGATTGATAATCCTACTTTTGTTATCATCGTTTTTAGAATGACATTCAGATTTTGTTGTAAATATGCGTAATTAACATATCTATTTTTTATATCACTAATATAGGGTTAACTTTATAATTATATATAATGTGAAAATAACTAATGTGTAATCTTTCCTCAAGTAATTGAAAATAAAAGCTACTTGATGGTAAATAATTATATTTTTTTTTTTATCACGACTGCACCTTCAACCCTTTATCGTATCGATCCTTTGTCTTATCAACCCTTTATCTAACAACAAGCAAATTATTCATAACATGTATACATATCAATATTAATAGGTTCAATAATGTGTTTTAACAATTTAAATTGAATTCAATGATACTATAAATAAACCTTATTTTGAAATTCAAGACTTACAAGAAGAGAGAGTAAAGAAATGGAAAAAAGTAAGAAAAAAAGGAAAGGAAAGTCAATTGCCGAACGTTACAATAAAGATGTACCATTGACGATACAAGACGCTACCCAATTATCTGGGGGCTTAAAGCTTATTATTTCCAGCTTGATGGAAGTTTTAACGATACATTTAACCCTTTATACAGTCAAAAGGAAATGTATTTTAAAATGTACAAGCTCTTTTGAACATTTGATTAATTGGTTCGAACTTTTGTCAATTTGAGATTTGAAAAATCAAATATTTATAACAAATAATTTTCTTTGAAAGAGTTTACTCTCTTTTGTGTTGTTGCTTATTTATTTTTCATATAGAGATTGAACGTCTTATATTGTTAGATTCGATCATGAATGGATATAAATGATATATTGAATTTCGTTTTGAAAATAGAGCAATCCATAAATAAATCTTTAATTATAAAGGCATATATTGGATCAAAATATTGTTGTGGGCGTCCCCTCCGGGTTCTTCGCGACGACGCCGCTTCCTCCTTCGAGGATCACCTACCCTTGCTTTCCCTCTGCAGCCCTACCATGCAAACCACCCAAATACCTCTTGAGAAACACCACTCAGGTGGATCTCCTTTCCTCTGGCAGTATCATTCGGCCTTACCACTGTTGGGGCGACACGATAGACTTAGCAGAAGAGTAGCTACTGTGATGTTGGCGAAAGAATCATAAAAGCAATCGGCATCAAGACTTCTCAAACTCCTCCTCTCTTATTGTCATCTTTAAACCACATTAAATATAACTCGAATAACAATCAACGGGTATTCACACTAGTTTACATTCCAGGCTCAATATCAACAGATATTCACATTTTTCCCAGAAACAGGACCACAGCAGTCGGCGATTCCCACACTAGTTCCAGACTGGAAACAGGCGAAAGCGCCATCTTTCCATGGAGGTTGTAGGTGTTTTCAGGCTCATATACACAACAATATCATTTATTTTACCCAAGGCGTAGAGCTTAATAACCAAACTGGTTGATATCGTTTGAAAATAGAGCAAAATAGACAAACATTAATATGTTATAACACCTTTATAAAAGTTGGCGTTCAGTCAAGCTGAAATATTGGTAGAATAATTGATATTTTGATCCAATATATGCCTTTTTTATTTAATAGAATATTATATATATTGCATACCAGTTTTCAACAATTCTGATATGTAAATCAAATTATTATTCATATTAGTTTTAACATCATAAAATATTTCTTGAAAATAGAGATTATTCGGCCAGTAAATCTTTTTGTTTGCTATGTTTTTACAATGTTTGCTCCTGACGACGTTTTTGTCGAAACGTCGAGGTAAACAAAAAGATTTACTGGCCGAAGTATCTTTATTTTCAAAGAAATATGAATGCCAGCCAGGCAGCTTCTATCTTTTACGATCATAAAATATATTATCATGTATTAGCACGCCATCTTTTATGAAAGATTTGTTCTAAATTTAACGTTTATGATTCTTTTTAAAATCAATTTTCTAATTCCCTAACTGCAGAACTATTTAGGTAAGCTTTGAAAACAATAGAATATCTAAATATAGTTCATTCAAATATTGATATCATTGTGTAGTGTTTTCTATTATAGAAAGGTGTTCGCGTGAACGAAAGGCAGAGTTTGAAGAATTTGAAAATAATTTTTTCTATAGAAGCCTGATATTTTAACTTAATACTGATACAAATTATTATTCATTAATTAAACAAGCCAATTAGTCTCCGGAGATGAGTTTATTCTTATTGACAACTGTAGCTTTCGTAGCCTTTCTAAGGAGTACAAATATATAACACCATTAGATAACTATTAAACTTGTATATATATAAATGTTTTTCTTTATGATTACTTTGTTTTTAGATAATAGGTTGATAAGACAAAGATCGATAAAATAATGGGTTGGTGCAGTCGTGATAAGGAAAAGATAATTATTTACCATCAAGTAGCTTTTATTTTCAATTATTTTAGGAAATATTACACATTAGTTATTTTCACATTATATCGAATTTTAAAAGGTTAATTATATATTAGTGATTCAAAAAGTTAATATGTTAACTACGCATATTTACAACAGAACTGAGAGTCATTCTAAAAACGATGATAACAAAAATTAGAAATATCAATAAATAAGAATAAAATATGTATTTTTAAAAATATAGAGATATTTGAGTTTTTAGATTATATAATATACATTTGTTTTGGCTGGAAATTTTGCATATTGGCATTAATAATATTGAGCTGATTATTATTTGCATATTGCTTGTGTTGTTTATTATATCTTGAGTGTTCGATTATTGGTTGAATTTATAACTTATTATTTTGTAGTTATATTCTCTATTGCAGAGTTCTATATTATTAAACATTATTGGGATATAATAGGTCACATATATTTCTGGAAGGTCTATCTTTCTGTAGATGCTGTTGTTTTGCGTTGATATGAACGCTTCCATGATTAATCTTTGAGATTTGTAACTTATGTTATTATTCTATTGAAATTGAAAGTATACATAGAGTAGTACTAGAGAAATTTAAATCACAGAGTAGAAAACCATCGTGCCGTTATGTAAATAAATACATTCTGAATAGTATGCATATATTCAAATAGAGAAATTTCCATAAAATTAAAGGTGTTGGAATATCACACAGAATAACAATGGCTATGAATGAGCTCGTGTTTTGAAAGGAACTTGTATGTATATAATAACAAGCGGATGTACCCGGCTTCACACCCGAGTTTACCCTAGTGAGAGTTTTACCTAACGAACATTTGTTAAAACAATTCTAAAAAACATCCAATCCCTACTGAATCTATACTGGCAAGATAACTTTATGTTTGATTATCTCTCCACCTAGCTGTACCCGTTCAAACGTTTCTATCTTCGAAAAAAGGCCGTTTTAATACTAAATAATAATTTAATTAATGATCAAATGTATACAATACATCAAAATGAAATTAACAATAAATTATCCCACATAAATGTGATTTGAATATAACATATGTAAAAAATAATAGATATATTTTGATAATTTGAAACTCGTAAATTTGAATCTTTCGATAAAGTGAACATTTTTCCCGGTCCCTTGAAAAATACTCGATAAGTTGAATAAAATTCAATATAATTATCATTATTTTTGTCTCAAAAAATTGTCCGTGTCATTTTGAATTTTGTCTTCCTAAATTTTCTACATTACAAAATCATCATTTTATCTAATCTCCCAATATATATGTTGTAGATAAATGATAAAACTAACTTGACTTGTGCGCAATTTACTAGGTAGAAAATCTTACTTTGAAAAAATTCATCATCATTTAGTTAAATCTACAAATCTGTAAAATAACTCTAAGGATATTCAAGATGTTCAAAGATAATTATTTTTCAAAAATCATATCCCAAAATTTCACGCGATTGGATGTATGGTTTTCGAATCTATAGAGTACAAAGACATTCAATCTCTCTATATATATAAAAGTCAATTTCAGTCTGTCTGTTTTTCTCGCGATAAAATCAAAAATACTGAACCAATTGAACCAAATTTTGCATGTCGACTTTTTATAAACCTGAGGAAAATTTTCGGCTGCATTTTGATTAGTATTTTTGGCTATTCTTTTTTTCATTTGAAGAACTTTTTTTTTAACGCGGACTAATCCGGAATGGAATCAATACCTAAATATGGCCATTTTTTTAAAGCATATCGGTGGTTCAGTGGTAGAATGCTGCCTGCCAGCACGCGGGCGGCCAGGAGTTCGATTCCCGGCCGATGCATTATTTTAAAACAATTTATTAAAACTCATTTATATATATCTTATTCATATAATATATAAAAATGAATGTTTTGATGTTTGTTTATTTGTTTGTTGGTTTGTATGTCCGGTATACAAATTCGCAGTAGTTTACTAATTCAAACCAAAATTTCCCAACATTAAGTAAAAAATACAAGGAAAGACGATAGGCTATTTTTAAAAATATATAAATCAATTATTAAAACTATTATATTAGTCAGAAAATGATGATGACGATATTGCTGTATCATGTAAGATTACACTGGTCAACAAGATTTTTGCACAAGAGAACCTGATTATGTTCTATTGTAACTTTAATGCTGAACTCAAAAATCTAATGAAATTCCCATCACGTATGGTTTTTGCGTTACGGTCTTTTTTAGTATTGTGATAAATACACTAAAAATTGCAAACAATGTCACGTAACTGGTTATCAAAAATATTTTCTTTGTCCACAACAGAAATAGCATCTATCTACAAGTCCTGAATCCAAAATAGCATAAGTTTTTTTCTATTACACAAATTTCTGAGATACACCTACTTGAATTTGGAATATTGTTAAATATATAGGCATATATGAACAAAACATATTTTAATTATAGAAAAGCAGTGACAGTGGATTTTCTTCTATACTTTGCTTGTGGTAGATCCCTCTAGTGCCCGCAGTCGTCGGCAAGCATAGCGGCCGGGAACTCTCCATATTACCATTGGTACCGCTTCTCCATGCTTGA